CCCATGGTCCCATGGGTGAGAAGATCAACTTAGCTGGTCACAACAGTGACCTTAAATTTTTTAAAATTTAAAATCTGGCACTGCATATATTTTATGGCTTCCTCACCTTTTTAGAGGTGTATATGCAGAAAATCGGCAAGCTGCCTATATTTATAAACATTAACTTAAAAATAAAAGACATGACATTCAGCATGTGCTGTTTAATGTGTGGGAGATATGAGCCAAACATCAAAGTAACTTTAAAAGATACTTATGTCTTATTGCGGATCAAATCTATAAAATTTACATTCAACAAGTCCTACTGACTCCAATGACTAGTACTGATTTTGAAAAAATTGGCCAAACAGTGTTTCTGTTTTTCAGGTTGAAAACAGTGGTATTTTTATACATAATACACTATTCCTTTATATGAGTAAATTAATGGACCTGATGTTATTTTTTCATTACTGTAAAAGAACTAAAATTATTATTTAACAGCTCTGAAGTTACAATGATAAAATTTCTTCTCAGTGTCATTTTATTTCCTATTTTATTCATGTACATATTCTGAGTAACTTCTAAAATGGAAGGGCAGAAACATACAAAATTAACCTTGAACTTACGGGATGTTAAAGAGCAGTTCCTCATCAGCATCACTCTCCACATACTGCAATGAAAGTTTAATTCAGTGAGAATTTTTTTTTCTGTTATGCAGTACTGGACAATTAACATTCTAATTCAATGTCACATTACAGAAAACCCCTAGAGCATACAAATTTAAATGTTACATAATGTGTGGAGAAACAAACAGGATTAATATATATGTATGACAACGTTTAGGATCTTGCACATATGCACAAACAAGAAAATAGACCATTAATTGGTTTAAATGTGAGTCACAACTGTCAACATACAAGGTGGTTCAAATATGACCAGGACTGATTTGTGTGTAAACAAGCCGCACCGCGCAGCAGCTGTGCGACCTTGAGAGAGTGAAGCCACAACCTCCACCTTCCCTCCTGTTAGGGTTAAAACCTGTTCAGTCCTGTCTGGGAGTTGCTAGAGTGATGAGCGAACAGAAGGTACCGCGGAGCGTGGAACAATGCATTGTGATCAAATTCCTCGTTGGAGAAAACGTCCCGTCCGCTGAAATTCACCACAAACTCTAACAACAGTATGGGGAAAAGTGTTTCTCATGGACCCGTGTGTTTGAGTGGTGTAAGTGCTTCAGAGAGGGCAGAGCATGCGTGGAGAATGAACCGTGTGATTGTTCGCCATGAACATCCGTCACCGAGCCGAACATTGATCGTGCAGACACACCTATTTGTGAGAATAGGCACATCACTATCAAGGAACTTAGAGCAATGCTGTCCATCAGTGTTGGTAGTGTAGAAGACATTGTGAAATACCACCTGCACTATCGCAAGGTGAATACACGGTGGGTACCATGCACTTTGACGGACGTGAACAAAATGGTGCGCATGCAAGCTGCCAGTCGTCTCCTACAGCAGTTTGAAGATAAAGGTGATGCATTTTTGATGTCTATAGTGACCACCGATGAAACTTGGGTGCACTACTTCATTCCCAAGTCCCAGCAGTCATCACGCGAGTGGCAGCATACCAGTTCTCCCAAACCCAAGAAAGCGCAGGGGAGCTGTTCGGCAGGTAAAGGGATGGCAACGTTCTTCTGGGACTGGCAGGGGTTATCCATGTAGACTTTCTGACAGATGCTAGAACAGTCAATGCAGCTTATTACTCAGACCTCCTGGCAACAGACGTGAAGGAAAAGATCCGATTTAAGCAGAAGAGAGGTGGAAAGCGGGTAGCCTTCCTTCAAGACAATGCATGCCCCCATATGGCCAAAACAACAATGGAAACCCTCCGGAAACTGAAATGGAACCTTCTGACACATCTGCTGTACAGTCCCGATTTGGCCCCAAAGGCATGCGGTTTGTGGACGACGCCATCATCCAGACTGTTTGGGAGTGGATATGCCTCCAACCACAAGCCTTTTTTGAAAAGGGCACCAGGATGCTTCCAGAACGTTGGAAAAAATGTGTTGACTCCAGAGGGGAGTACGTTGAAGACTGACATGTGCAAGTGTGTTTGGCAATTATTTTTTTTTAATCAGTCCCGCTCATATTTGAACCACCTTGTATTAAACAAATCAAACACACATTTCAACTAACCTAATCTTTAGTAGTGGTACTTTCACCACATCAGATGCGAGTTAATCTGCCATGACTTGATTCCTATTGCCTTGCTTGTGAGAAAGAAGTGCAGCACATCACAAGGGATAGGCACTAAGCAGGACTGAATCTGAGACATAATCTGCCCATTCCAAGCAAAAAAATGGACATAAATATTGATTTAAACTGGAAGGTATAAGCAGAAGCTTGATATGAAATTTTGCTACTGTGAATTTATGCCATGTATTTGGAATGTATGCACCGTTTCTCAAACAACAAAATCAAACCAAACTTATGATAAACAGACTGCTTATCTAATTTGTTCCAACTTCACAACACCATATCAGCTGCTGAATAAAGATACTGTAGCATAGTAAACTTCGGGTTGTGTTCCTTTTTGTTTGCCACAGAAATGGATTAAAGTGACATAACAATCACGGGACTTAAATGCATCTATGCAAGATGGCCTACAAATAACAAAATGATACAGACGGCCTCAGATTTGGATGGATTCTTTGGCACAAAATAAGGAGGGGAAGACATAGAATTTCAAACATGGAATATCTGGACGCTCTAAAAGTCAGGTTCATTAACTTCAATAGCATGAACATTTGCAAAGTAAAATTTGGATTTAATGTGTGTATAAGAAGTCATGGATGGCATTAAATTAGTGGACAATTACACATTTTTATATGAAAAAGGGAAGATACATTTGCTTTTAATTGGCCAATATATAATACTTATTGGAACACTGGTTACACGTTTTCATTTAGCCCTATGCATAATTCATCATTATAGGTGAGAGTTGGATGACAACCTGATTCTGAATCTCTATTGCACACAATGGCCTAATATTACATGAACGACTGTTATCAAATGGTCATAAAAACAGTGACAAAACTGAAACAGCCAAAGCTTTTAAATGAATGGAAATACTGCTTTCTGGGATGACAGAATCCCACATGCAGGTTTGTGTAACAAGAATGCTGCATGATCCAGTAATCTCGGCTGAAAGTGTTATTTTTGTTACTTCCACGTGGATCGAATGATAAGTAAGAATCAGTGTTCAATCTATCCCTGCTTTATTCACGTGTCCATCAGAACGCATCAAATATGTGAACCTTTCAAACAGAACCTAACATTACATCAGGTAATGTACTTCACCTCTTTAGACAAATTATCAAATGATACAATTAGAAAATGTTTATAAACAGCACGACACACAAAGCTAACCTTTTCAAAATCAAACCGATCTTCCCATGCTTTAAACACATCTTTCCCAGAACCCTCGCATTTCTCATTCAGGCATTCTAAATTTCCAAGGTCAATTTTAGAGTACAAACTATACTGTAACCCCATTTCTGGTGTTTCATCGTGATTGTGATCTCCATCACACCCATGTCGCCCATGTCTATGCCCAGACATTGCAATAATAATCACTACACCGAACTACAATGCCTCGTTGACATCAAGTGATTAATTGCATTAAATGTACCCCACCAGACCATTCGAATCGGTCTCCAGGCATTAATCTTTGAAAGCGATCCGTGGTTAGAACCACAGCGCACTATCACGAATTACAATGTTGACCAGAACCGTAAACATTTTGTCATAACAGGGACACTATGGAGAATTTTTTAACTGTAGATAATATACAGCTGATTTTAATAATAATGGTGATCGCTATTTACACTCTGCTTTGAGAAGATATGACGTATTAAGTAATAAATAATTTGAAAACATTTGAACATCTGGGACCTCCAATATGAAATAAAAATGAGGAGCCCTGAGAACCAGGTTCATTACGGAGTTCATGACTAGACTTCACTGTAACGCTCTGGTACTTGATGATCCGTGAGTTCTACCAACTACGGATCATACACCCCATCAATGACGGAAGTGGCGCTCATTCCAGTATATAGTTTCGTCGTAAATATCCTGACTCGCCAGTTCCCACAAAGTCGTGTGTATCCAAGCTTATGAAAAAGTTTCGGGCCACAGGTTCAGTGTGTGACATAAAGAAGCAATCGAAGAGGACTGTGCCGACTGAAGAAGAGGTTCGGGATATTGAGGCACGACTACAGATCAGTCCTCGAAAATCGTTAAGACGCTTAGCAAATGAAACCGGTGTTTCTCTAGGATCTGCTTTCAAGGCCACAGAATCAATCAAATTTCGCCACTATAAAATAACAATTGTGCATGAGCTGAAACAACCAGATTGTGCAGCAAGAATTCGTTTTTGCAACTGGCTGCTGCAAAATGTGCACGATGCAATCGTGAATCCACAGCTTCTGTTCATGACTGATGAGGAGTGGTTTCACGTTAGTGGACATGTCAATGCACAAAATGTAAGAATATGGAGCGATGAAAATCCTCACGCTATACAGTAAGTGCGATTACATAGTGGAAAGTTGGGGGCGTGGTGTGCTGTAAGTCCACGGCGAATCATTGGCCTTTTATTGTTCACGAAACCGTGAACTCTGACCGCTACGTTAATGATTTACTGAATCCATTCTTCAAACAGCCGACTGCTGAAGACAATATGGATGTTTTTAGCAGGACAACGCTACGCTACGTACGACTAATGCAACCATGATCGCAATACTGGAAATGTTTGGAGAGAGAATAATCAGCAGAAGACTGTGGCCTTCCACAACCCCAGATCTCTGTTTTAGCGATTTTCATTTTTCGGGAAACCTGAAGGGAAAAGTCTACAAGAATAATCTCCGCAGCACTGAAGTTCTGCAGAATGACATAACACTCCACTTTTTCATAATATTGGTTACACACGTCTTCGTGAGAACTGCCGAATCAGGATATTTACGACGAAACTTACGGATAGATTTTCTCTAAGTGTTTATCATTGCAAACGATTCGACATACGTTTCATGGAAAAGGAAAAACAGAAGAATAACACGAACTGTGGGAAATGGCGATCTCTATTCGGTTCTCTGGAAGTTAAGAAAGGCAGTGTATTTCGTGAAGTAGTAGTAGTCCCGTGCGGAGGCAGGTTCAGATACTTACACCGTAGCCTTGCGAGTTGTAGGAGGCAACAAAAAGGGAAGTCTCGAATCTAAGACAGTAAAGTATGGTCACGAGTCCAAGGGAACTCGGATCCGAGAATGACAGCGATGGTGTGGGCCAGCAGCAATTGTAAACGACAGGCCCGTCCTCTCGTCAGAGGGAGCGCCCCACATCAACAAACCCGCAAGTGTCTGACAGTAATAAAAATCTGGTCTTAAGCCCCAGATGGGTGCTTTATTCCAAGACAGACTGGCCGAAGGACCGTCGGTCGTAACATAAGACTCAGGCTCAGAAGTAGCAGCAGCAGTAGTAGTAAAGATCAGTCAGAGATCAGTGAGCGACTCGGGAGAGATATTTCACACAGGTTCTTCATACGGCATTCAGAAGGAGTTCAATGTGCGAGCTATTATAATCAATTGTATTTGTAAAGAAGTGCCAATAAACGCAGTCATCAAAATAACCCATTAATGTTTGTCACGCAAAACCCCTTATACATGACAATATTGTTCTAATATTTTTAGTTATTCCAATTGTGTAACATTTAGTTCTTTGTTCGTAATTCTAAATTCTATATCCTTAATATATAATATTTTTAACATATTAATTACCTTCAATATAGTACTATCCATCAATATTTTAAATACGTAGGTAAGTCAATAAGTAAGTTACAAATTGATATAGAACTTAAACAAATAAGAGTACTGATTTGAAAAATGCTTTTATTTCTCAACATAATCTCCCCGTACATTGAGGCACTTGTCCCATCGTTTCACAAGCCCCTGAAAACCAGCAGCATAAAATTCTTTGGGCTGCTGTCGGAACCAGGCGGTGACTTCCCTTTCTACAGCTTCATCGTCGGGAAAATGTTCAGACGAAAGATGATGTTTAAGAGGATCGAACAAATGGAAGTCGCATGAAAGGTTGGGTTTTCACAAAGTCTGTGCACGATGGGTGCCGCGCATGCTGACCCCACAACACAATGTGCAATGAATGGGTCTGGCATTACAGCATTTCGATCACTACAACGATGAAGGACACGATATGCATGCCCAAACTGTCACAGGTGATGAGTCTTGCTCCAAGCGACTTCCATTTGTTCGGCCATCTTAAACTATCTTTCTGCTGAACATTTTCCCGACGATGAAGTTGTAGAAAGGGAAGTCACCGTCTGGTTCCGACAGCAGCCCAAAGAATTTTATGCTGCTGGTTTTCAGGGGATTGTGAAACGATGGGACAAGTGCCTCGATGTGCAGGGATATTATGTTGAGAAATAAAAGCATTTTTTCAAATCAGTACTCTTATTTGTTTAAGTTCTATATCCATTTGTAACTTACTTATTGACTTACCCTCGTAAAAGGTCGCGATGCAAGGGCCAAGAATGCCCACCCCTTATACATTCATTCATTCACACCCTCGTAAAATACCTTGCATATTTTCTGATATTTTGATAATGGTAATATTGAAATTCTCATCATGACGTAAGGCATACATTTTGCAACTTTTATCAAATGGACGCCTTGCACCAAAATTTGTATCCACATGCAGGGAGTTCAATTAACCTTGTTCGTATTATATAATACTACCTGATGATAGTCCCGTGAGGACCTAAACATGTAGCGGTAAGCAATAAAATTCCGAGAAATATTGATTGATTGAAAACCCATTTGTTTTGTTCTGTTGGCGGATACCTTACCTAATCATATGTATTTTTGTCAGCAATTATATTATGTGTATTCTCTGGCACAGGGGGCTTCTGGAGGTCATTAATTTCATAAATAATATTTTTTTTTTCCCTGGATTGCTTTAAGCTTTAATATGATGCTTTCATTACGTCAAAACTTGAGTGTGCCTTGGTCACCTTGAATAATCTTACATTAGCAGATTCCAACAAATTTGAAAACATACAAAGGAAATTTGCAGATGTGCGTTACAGTAGATCTGATCGTTTAATTGTCCTCAAAATTATGATTTGATTCTGGTATCTTAAGAATTTATAACACTTATTTCTAGACGATAGCATTTTGATGGTGTATTTCTTCCTGGTGATTTTAAGAGGAAAATAAGTTTGTACCCACATCTGTATAAGTTTCAACCGCGAAAATCTAAGGACCTCAGTCAAGGCTATAATATTTCTTAATGTGATTCTAAAAAATTGTAGAGGTTTCTGTGGCCTATAAACGTAAACTCCGACAATAATTTAGGATCACTCTGTACGACAGGCAACATTATAATTTACATACCTTACTTTCTACTTTTTTGATAGAAAGTTGGAAAGCAAAGTGATTTTAGCAAGCCTTCACCAAATTTAACCTCTTTTTAATTTATTCGTGACTTCTTTTGTTATTGTTGTTCCAAAATATTTGAAATCTGTCCCACTCCGTGGGTTTAGTGTCTCTGTTTATATCACGATTTCATCCCAAATTCTGTCATCTAGGAGGTTTTAATGGACACAAGAATTATTATAGGTCACGTTTAAATGCGAAGATTTAATTCTGCCGACAGAAATGTCGCACGCGTTCTAAATTTGGGGAAAAACTAACCCCATGGCCTTTATTCCGCAAGCGAACTACACTTATACCGACTAAGCGAACGCCGCTTGTCGGCGAAGTTAGTGCCAACTTTTGCGGATAGAGGGTGTCGCGTGGTCAGCGTAACGGATTCCCACGGCCGTTAATCTCGGTTTTCTAGACCGGCTAAATTTGGAAAGGAGAATAAATTCCTATGTGAAGCCCCCCCCCAACATCCAACATCTCTGTTAGTCATTGACATTTAATCAACATGAACAGGTTTCGCTTAGTTTAAATAATTAGTATGTCGCTTTCGTCAGGGTGGCCTATAATATCATGAATAATAAAGTTGACAGCGATGGCTTAGGGAAAAATGCATCATAATACACAGTACATTATTTGTTAAAATGTGTTTCTGTTTCGTAAATAGTAATCGAAGAAGAAAACATATAATAGTTTAGATTCCGGCCAGTAAACTCACTGTTCTGAATGAGAGGTTTCGTGAATTTCCTTATTCCATTCAGAGAAATGCCGGAAGAGTATCTCAAATGCGCTATGCCAGCTTCCTTACACGCCACATGGAGCCATTACTCGAGTTGTCAGATAAGCTTTGCATCTGAAATGGTGCGTAGGAGACCGGCTGAGGCCCGGAATTGAGAGTAAGCCGGCTGTGGCGTGATGCTCATCATTCACTTCCAGCCAGTATGCACGTTGAGTATGTGGAGCCTGATTAAGCATAGAGACAACTTTACCGTTTACCTTTATGCACGTGTATTACTCATACTCATACTCATATGAGTGTGCGTGTGCGCGTGCGCGAGCGCGTTCAACTGCTTATCGACTTCAAAATAAATCAACAGGATCCAGTAACATCAGCTTTGGTTACAGGATGGCAGGTGATGACGTCATACTTATTCCGCACCTTGCTCAGAGAAACGCAGTAAAAGCGGAATATTATGTCGAGAATCAATTCTCGAAAATGTTTGCTGCAAAGCGCGTGATAACGAAACGCAAAACCCACAACATGTGATACACTTGCTGTGAGGTTATACACTTACTTATCGATTCGCCCATTTTTAGAGTTGCATGCCGTTCCCTTGCGCAGACGCTATGGCGACGTCGTCCTGTAGGCGCTAAGTGAGACCCCACGCATGATATGGACGTCACAGTTACCATGGTTCGTCTTCAAAGGTTTGGTGTTGAGACAATTCAGCAGAAATCAATGGGTAAGTGAAAGTGTTATCACAATACTCGGCTGTCATCTCACCCACCCCCACGAACACACACACACACACACACACATCAGACAACGGGACCTGCTTGCAGCTACTGATCTCACAGACTTCGGTAGACAACAAACAACTCCAATGACTTGACAAAACACCAGAAAATTATGCAGAGCTTCCAGTTGTTAGTCACGTTTTCAAAACCCCTTCCACCTTGGAAGTTATTTACAAAATACCATAAATTTGGAGCGTCTCAGCGTGTTCCTTTTCGCAATTTTATACTGTTTCGAAGGATTTTCTTTTTCAAAATATGGATATAAAGTAAATCCAATACCGCGCTGAGCATATGATACACGCATTTGAATGGTGTCTTTAAACAATATTAACAAGAATAAATTTTGATACAAAAACTTGGGTAAAAAAGTACAAATTCTTATCTTTTTCAAAAGGGCAGAAGTCCGGAAGATCAAGCACATCTGGGTGTATAGGCCTAAGTCAAAACAGCATAACAAAATATATAAGATTCTTGTATTGAAAGCTAGCCTTTAAAAATAAAAACTTTGTTTTCGAACTAAATTTTTTCTTCAGACCATTCTTTTGTATCTCTCCAACTACTGCAATTCAATCAGAATTAAATCCTCCAACCTTCCCCTCTGCTCCAAAAACTGTGTCGAATGATCGCATGCAGTTATTTCAGACATAAAATCTTTGCTTGATCATCATGTTCTACTGATTCTCCATGGGACAGCTTTCAGTTCGGTATATGAAACCTCTTTAATTTCACAAACTTCTATTTGGGCCGCATAAGTAGTGACGTTCCAACCGACAGACACGTTTTACGGAAATAAAATTCCAACATGTGCTTCAGATTGTGAAAGCCGTGACAGACGGGTGCGAGGATCGATCAGTCGGGCAATAATTCTGCTAGACGGTGGGCCAAGAAGAGTATGGACGGTTACGGTGTTCCCATAAGGCGTGCCTGTGGTAGGCATAGGCAGAGGATATAAAGGAACCAATCAATAGTGTGCGTATCCAAGTGCAGAAATTACGAAGCTCAGTGACCAAGAAGCATACTCGTATCCTTTGCGAAGAAAGGGAGGGTGTAAGGCCTAAAAGCGGGACACATACGAAGAAGGGAATGTGTAAGTGACGCAAGTTTATGAACGAAATGGCCGAGCAGTGAAGTGCGTTCCGCTGTTGTACTGATATACGCAAACATCCAAGATTTTCGTATTCTCTTGTCGTGTGAAAATAAATTCCTTGTGACGGATCGATCCCCGTACTAGGATTACTGCCAGAATCAATTCTGAATAGGAAAAGGACAGACTAATCCGTGAGTGCTGAAAAACAGGAATGGTGATGCTATTGCTGCTAAGGCTAACGAGATACACCACTGAAGTGCGTTTCATTATTGATATAGGACCTCCCAGCTCAAATGTTCAAACAACATTTCTAATACCTTCTTGTCTTTATGGATTAGATATTTTAACGTCTGTTCCAACTTTAGAATCCTCATTCCAATGTCTCCTTGGTCTTCCTCCAATTCTTGCTGTATTGTTTGTATTTCCATATTTTCATCCTAACGTTTGTTATCTATCTTCACACATTCTATTTTGCACGGTCCTTCCGTCTCTTGTACGATACCACACATGTTTACCAGTAATCGCTTTCACGCGTACAGTGTTCTGGTGAGAGGACCTGAAGGAAGGAGACCACTAAAAATATGTGTACCTATACGTAGATGGGAGGATAATAATAAAGTGGATGTCAAATAAAGAATATATAAGGATTTGCCTATCTCAGAACAGGGACCAGTGGCAGGCTCTATTGAACACGGTAAAGAAATAGGTTTGGTTCCGTAGAGTGTTGTGAATATCTTGAATGACCAAGAAACTATTGGGTTCTCAAGAAGGGCTGAGCTCCATGGAGCGAGTTAGTTAGTTAGTTAGTTAGTACCGCGTACAACCAGATATAACTCTAGTAAGTTCTCAGTTTTGCCTCTTTCATTTATTTTAACATCTCACCTTACGCTCATTTACGAGTATGACTACATTTCTGTACCATTGTTAACTAATACGTGTCCTTGAATTTTGTATAATTTCCAGTTTTCGCTCCTGAACATCATTTCAAGCCAGTGTCTTAGTCAATCCCCTTTAAAAGTGCGTACAAATATTTTATGTTTATTTTTCAGAATTTTCTACCCCTTTGAGCTTGTTATATTTAGGTATACATATTCGTTCTATTATTTCTTTGTTATGATTGTCTTAAATCTTTTATATATTTTGCAAACGGCAACTAATTGCTTTCGCTTCATTAACGGAAATGTTTATACAAAATTATTCCAATATCAGCTTAACAACATAAACGTGTATAAGTAAATCATTTTCAATTCTGGACAATAATACGTGATCATTTGCACAGGACAAATTTGTTATATTTCTTACCAATATTTTTAGTAATGTTCTGTTACAAGACACGAACAGAAATGCAGAAACTGTGCAGGTTGTGAGAAAGTGAAATGGGCCAAGAGCAATGGAAAGTAAGAAAGGTGGAGCTAACTTACGCATGCCAATACGAGTGGAAGAAATAAGAAATGCATATAAAATGTCAGCCGGAAAATCTAAAGAGCAGAGACTGTTTAGAAGATCTAGGTGTTGATGTCAGTAAAAATAATACCAATAAGGTATAGCTGACTCTAATCTTAATTAAGAAACACGCCATGAAGACATTTTGGGGAGCAGAGGTACAATTGAACGTAATCTTAATCTTGGCGCCAAATGGAGGCAAGTGGTTAGCTTCACGCCCCGGCCACTCTGACCGCGAGAAAACAGATTCTGGTCTCGATTGTATGGGAAGTGAGGTGGGTCCCAGAGCCGACGTTCAGAACAGTAAAGTCTCTCCTCTGTCGTCTAGTAGCTCACTCTTAAAATACTGAAAGTGATTTTAATGGAGAGAGCGCAAGAGTGAGTACTGGATTCATCTGGTTCACTGGGAAGAGGGGCTCTTGAAAACATGGCAATGGAAGTCCCGATTTCTATGAAAGGCTGAGAATTCCATATGCAGTTGAACGACCATCAGCTCCTCAAGAAGGGTTTTGTTCCACGGAGTTCGTTGGCAGTTTGAATGCACGGTGTTGAGTAAAAGCAAAATGGCAGATGTTACAGCTATATGGGCGTATGCAGCATGAATGTACAAACATCTGTTCTTGTTTATTCATGCTTTTAGTTCGGCAGCAGATATTGAGAGATAAGTTCGGTTCTTTCTTATTTATTTATTTGTTTATTGCTATTGCATGAACTGCTATGGTTATGAATTATACGCTGAGATATGCAATATGCAATACTACAGTTTTACTCCTTAAGGTCAAGTTGTCCCTGTGCTTAACTAATTAAGCGATACGCCATGAAGGTGTATAAGGGCGTGGCTGTATAGCTCCACATTTTCTTGACCTCGACACTAGTTGGAGGTGAGTGGTCAACTTCACGCCCCGGCCACATTACGCCCGGGGAAAGAGCCTCTAGTACCCATTGGATAGGAAGTAGGGTGGGCCCAAGAGCCGATCTGAACGAAGTTGAAAAGAGAAAATTCTTTACCCTACTGGGACTCGAACTCCGAATCCTCGGTCGTCCAGCCCGTAGCCAGTCGCTTTACCGACTGATCTATCCCGGCTCCCAATTTCACTCGTTATAACTGCGAAAAGGGTTCACGGTAGTGTATTTGGTTGAGGCACTATGCTACAATCTGGAAGGTCGCGGGTTCGAGTCCCGATGAGATGGATTTTTGAAATTGACCTAATCCTTCCAGTCGCACTATGGCCCTGAGGTCGGCTCAGCCTCTAACTGAAATGGGTACCAGGAATCTTCCTTGGGGGTTAAGGGCGGCCGGGGCGTAAGGCTGACAACCTTTCCGCCATCTGCGAGCCGCTTGTCTAGAGAAAATGTAGGAGCCTCGACGTCTTACAAGTCTATGGGCCTCCACAGCCTGGTACAGGGATAGCTAAAATAGATTTATGGATGCGAAAATAGGGATGCTTACCCCAAGAAGAATATGTACATAGAGTGTCTGAGAAGAAAGTGTTGAGGAGAATTTTCGGACCTAAAAAAGGGAAGAAGTAGGGCCTACAGAAGGACGGAGACATCGCAGTTTGCAATCCGTACCTGCTATTAGAGCGATACGACGGAGGATGAGACGGGTTGCATTTCTGTCACGCAAGGGGGAGATGGGAAATATGTACCAAACTTCGTGGAAAAAGATAACTTGAAAGAGAAGGCGTATACGGATGAAAAACACGATGGATATTAAGGAAATAATGTGATAAATTATGGAGTGGATTCATCTGGCTCAGGATTATACGTCCAGTGATAGATTCTTGATAACACGGCAGTGACACTTGGGGCTCGTTGCGGCGGTCGGTGACTATGAAGAGCACTGTCTTTTGGGAAATGACGCAGTGTAGTTTGGTAGATAAGTGCCAAACTACATGTCGTCACATCCCAGATGAGAGGCTTAGCGACTAGAAGTTTCTGAAGAAGGACTCTGCTCCATGAAGCCAGAATTATTTTTTCATGTATACTTGCTGATGCATAAAATATTTCGTGCAACATTCTGGACTATCGTATTTGGAAACAAATACATACCGCTTCAAAATTCCTTACCAGCACGATGGAATTTATCGAGTCATGTTATTAAAAACTTGTATAGAATTCGGGTTATAGTTTCAGTTGCCTTATTTACCTCAAAATTAACGAATTATTAACAATCGGTTGCGACGTGTCCTATGTGTGTTCGAAAGGTGACTGGTTCGAATCTCAGGCAGCAAACCAGCTCTCCTTCTTGATTTATTTTGCAGTTTTTCTCACTTTTTCCGGTATAATGACAGGGCAGACAGATCACTGTCATTCCCAAATCTTTCTCGGCTAAGAGTGCATGATAATCGCACCACATTTAACCACTCCCCCTTATTTATCTTAATTAATTATTAGTCTATAATTAGTCTAAATTCAATATGACGGCAAGCACATATCTCCACCAACGTAGAAAGACACTGGAGAGACTATGGTGGAGAGAGTTGCATGTTATGGGTGTGAGGTGTGCATTATGAACGACGAGAGGAAATAAACTACTCTTCTGGAAATGGATTGTTCGAGAAGTTCAAATAACCAAGAATTGATAGAATGCCAAACGATAAAAGAAGAAGAAAAATAAGCGATAAACAACAGAAAGGGTGAAAAGGGAAGGAAGGACTGAGATTGTATGGGCCCTTCATGCGAATGGAAGAAGATACGTGGCCAAAAAAACAATATATAGCTGGACCCAGTCCCCCCAGTTGCAGGGAATGGGCATGTAAAACGCGGAAAGAAGAAATTCTACAAACCATGAGCAGCAGAGAACTGGAAATCAGACGGTGTGCAACATAGAAGTGACACTCGGGGACGGCTATGTAAATCCGGCAGCTATTAACTGATAACCTAGGAACCAAGCAAGGTATCAAATATCTTCACTAAAATAGTTGCGTTTGACACTGAAATGGGTGGTATCTATAAATACTGAAATATCTTCATCATTCTCTTCAAACTATGAGAATTGTACACTGCTGGTTGTTCACTGTTACAGGGTATGCATAATTTCCGAAAAAATGCTGAAACCTCTCTCTTTGGCTTTCGTGAGTAGGAAGTTTGGACGGTCCATGTTATTGATCTGTGTAGCTCTCTGTCTGGTTACGAGGCGCCATGGGAAGGAGGGGGGGTAATCGCGCCATACCTCATAGCTAGGGGAAGCCCTTTATGAAAGATAAACATGATGATTCAATTCAATTCAATTCATGTTTATTTACGTGCAATAACTTAACAGCACAGTGGCCAATTACAAAGGCAGCACTAGTATACAAGGTACAGAAAATAATTAAAACAAAATACATATATGACAAATAAATCTGTGAACATAAATCTAAAGAAGACTGAAATATGTACATACATTTATGAAATATTACGAATGTTGCTAATACTAAGATAAGACACCTGGGAGTGATAGCATAAAATTAATAACAAGTCAATAAATTAAAACCAATTACATAAGAAAATTAAAGTTAGCCGAGGTATACACATTTGTAGTGAATGAAAACACTAATCAAGTAACACCGTAAAAGGTTTGGTACATGCTTGTAAAATATGATTCAGAGAAACCGCTCCGTCTGCAAATATGTTGAGATCTTTACCCACCACGCTGGTAGCAAGGGCGCACCGAGAATAATAATAATAATAACAACAACAACAACAACAACAATAATAATAATAATAATAATAACTGAGTAGCACCTACTACAGACCTGTAATTCTCTTCCAAAGTTGCCATGTCTCTGTTATTTGATTTTATCTGTATGTATTTCCAGTATCTGTCCAGGAAGTACCTGCAAGCGCTGTACAGAAAGGGCGACTAGGCCAACGTGGACATGTTGTGTTACTTTTATATTACACAGACAATTCATCATGATCATCATGATCAACATCACTATTTAAGCCTCTGACTTACTCCGTCATTTTGTGAAATGAAATGTGTACATTATGTCACGTATCGATGTTATGTATGACAAGCTACTTATGAAATGTTATGAAATTATTTACCGAAGTTCAGTTTCATTTCGTGTAAAACCGTAGATGTAATGGAACAGTAGGTTAAAAATGAAATGTGCACGGCAATATTTATTTAATCGAAAGCCGCTGGACAGTTTTTATGGTGAAATATGCCGATACACATTGTCTCACCTGTTAATCTCATGCACTTCTCGTATAGAAACACGTAATTAATCAACTGAATGGTTGTGATACTGACACAATGCAAGTCATTCCGTATCGTGGCACCCTGCTCTCTTCGCTGAAAACATCCTGAGTCCCCAAGTACCTGACCCTCTCCCCTCGAGAATATCTCACTGCTTTAGCTCAGCTGCAAGTCAAAAGTAAAGCCCATGTGTTCTCAACCTTAGTACCAGAGGATACTCGTCAGCTTTACGCAATGACAGCTGTACCTCGTTATTCTTTGCATAGGAAGTTGCGTGCCTCCCAATGCCAGTCCACAACCTGTCACTTAACCAGCTGAATTATCCTAGCTCACGAGCTTTGGTAAGCTCGTATATTGTGTTACACGTTCATGTCCCTGCTAGCCTGCTTTTCTTACGGCATCATCTTGTCCACTTGTCCACGAACTTATAGGCTATCATTAAATTTGGTATTATGATTAATTTGCTCAAAGCATTAAGCCATGGAGCCAGCAAACCCTGTTGCTAGGCAACTACTCAGTAAACATGTTCAGACGAACAAACAATAGGAGCAGTGTTCTGTGTCCGTGTTGCGACCGTTGCTAGGCAGCAGCAAGCGCGCCTATGGACTGCCTGGGTAGCGATCACGTAGGAATTTCAAAAGATACGCATGCAACAATAGAAAAGCTGTGTTTTCTGTGCGTGGTCCGTGTCGAGAGCCTTGTATATGTTGTATACACATACACCTAATAATGTAAACTGTACATACTGACAACGGACTTCTTGCAAATGTTCGTAACATGTTTCTGGCTCCTGATAGGGCCCAGTGGAGGGCTCTTGTGAACACGGTAATGCTGGGAAGTTCCTGAGCAGTTGCACAATTGGCAGCTTCTTAAGGGCTCAGCTCTACGAGTGAGTGGGTGACAACACACTTATCACTGCTGTGACTCTGGCAAACGACAGACCCGTCCTCTCGTCAGAGAGAGCGCCCCGTATTAAAAAGCCTGCAACTGCCTGACAGTAATAAAGATATGGTCTTAAGCACCCAATAGGTGCTTTATTCCAAGACAGACTGGTAGACTGACCGTCGGTCATAACATAACTGACTTTGACTTTTGCAGCAGAAGACTCAGACTCAATTTAAGCAGTTGTCAGTAGAATATAGCCATGGGAAGTCGATAGATGGAGAAGAATTAAAAGTCAACCAGTGAAGACTTAATGTGTGATTTGAAGACTTCATGTGCGCTAAAGTACAGTGATATCTGGGGTGTGGCAGTTGTGGTTCCTGTGTTAAAATCCATTGCCAGGAAACGACAGTGAAAGCTTTGCAGAGGAATAGCCAAGCAACGACTAATGAAAGCAGATTTAGAAAAAGTACTGTGAGTTATTGGAAATTGTTGGTGATTAAGAGTGATTGTAAAAGAAGGCGTTAATAAATCCAATCATCCAATCCAGAACCCGTTACTATGGGTCACGACCCTAAATACGCGACACTATGAACAATATGTCACCAATGGCCACTCCCACTTTTGCACCTCTCATTTTCACATCATTGCCTCTGTGAATTTCTGAGATGTGAGCAAAACTGTTAGCAATTATTGTAAGAGATGAAAACTGGAGTGGATAAAGCAAACTGTGAAAAGTATGCACCTTTTATACGGTAAATATTCTGCTGAATCTAAAAAAATATATTGGTGACCATACAAAATCCATATTCACCTACTGTGTTGGTGGCAGTAACTAATGAAGAACTGGAAAAATAGCGAATTTTGTACAGAGACAGATCATAAGCATACCTACTAATTCTGTAATGTAAAGGTGAAAAACTGTCCGTGAGCTTAACTATCACCGTAGCGGTCTCGGTAGTCTAGAGGTAACGTTCTCACCTCATGACTCGTAGTACGCGGGTTCAAATACCCGGCGGAGGTCGTCGAATTTTGAAGGGCGGAAAAATTCAGGGAACAAGTCCTCCGGGAGGGACTTTAAGCCGTGGGTCCCGTGTCGTAGCTTTACGGCACGTAAAAGAACCTCATATCTCCAAAGGAGGTCACTGAGACAAATTAACGGACGTTTCCCGCCCAACAGCAGTCTCTAATACCTCTGGTAGATGGGGGAAGCATTATAGATACCTCTCAGCTAGTAGAGCCGGTCTCGCTGGCTGGGCGGGACTGATGGTAAGCACGTGTACGTGTGTACACACGTAGTAAAGAATAACAGCGGCACGCACACAGGAAGACTACACAGGATAACACCTATACAGTGTGGAAACAAGAACTAGCCGCTGCAGCACTTTAGACATAGGTCGAGTAACCCTAACAATTTTAAATTTAAAATTTAGAGAAAAATTTTAAAGGATTTTAAAATTGGAACTAAAGATCTTATAGTGCTACTACAGGTACGTCAAAATTAACGTGTGTAAAATAATCTACAAACCAGACAGATATCAACGAAGTAGATGTTGATAATAACAAGGAAAGTGTTTTTAAATGTTAAATTTTGGGCTGGGTGCAGTGTGACAGCAACGTGAGTGTTATACACCTGATGATGGCCGTCTGAGGCCGAAACATGCAGTGTAGAGGAACAAGATCAAGGACAAATAATATATTGTTTGCACTTGGGACGGAATTTGTATCATTATATCATTTACTGTATTAACAAATTTCATATAAACATAATTTATCTTCTCCACGTTGTCAGACAGGTTCTGATGTCCACACAGCCACCTATCCAATGGGTAGCAGGGGCTCTTTCTCCAAGAGTAAAGCAGTAGGGGCTCCAGCTAACGCTGATATCAGGAAAATGTGCTGTTATACCTTCACCCCCTCCATATGTCTTCATGGCGTAGTGCTTAATTAGTTAAGAACAGGGATAAATATACCTTCTGTTTTTTACTTTTATGTATAAAAATTATAGCGCAATTCTAATTGCATAGTCGCCTCTAGTTTCAATGCATGCAATGAAGCAGTTTAAGGAATACTGGCATCATAGCCTTTTCACCAAACCTCTTTCATACTGAGATGCTGAATATTTCTATCTTGTTAGGACTTGGACCCTGTTTGATGAAGATATTTAATTTATGCATTGTACCTTCATCATTCTACTCATCATTGCTGCTGTGGTAACCACTGTGCCATTACACACAATGGATGTACACACATATTATTACTCTACCCACTTGTTAAAATCCCATTCATATCCCCCATTTGACTAATATATCGCAAACTGCTGTTACTGCGGCATAATGAAATTCCCTACCTGAAAAACAGTGGTGACAACTGAGCCTTGAGAGCAAAGGAAAAGCACATAGTATCTGATTAGGACAATTGCAGTTGCAGTTTGAGAGATGTTTGGCATTATCATGGCTGAGAAGCAATATCTCACTGCACACTGCAAACATAGTGCAGTAGAATTCTGAAAGCAAATTTTCAGATTTATGCTTCACTATTCAGTGTAACAGTAGTGATTTCTTGTCTAGAAGACATATCATTCACAAATGGAAAAGCACAACATGGTAATGCTAATGTATTTCGTCTCTCTTTCTTTATGCAGATGCACATGCAAAAGCAGTTTTGGGACCTCTAGGCAAATGATGGTTTCCTGGTTTGGCACATATGAAAGTAAGTAATGCAGTGGCATACAGGGTACACAATGCTAATTCCAAGTACAGTTACAGCTTTTATTGAATGGAGAAAACATTTTATACACTGATGCAGTTTTAATGGTCTGGCAACAGTTCAACTGATCAGACCAGAGAATTTGCTGCTGCAGTGTATTGCCTTGTGGGACATGATATATAAAAAGTGAACTACATGGGAATTTAGTCGTGGTTAGTTGATGAAAGCTTCAATGAATAAATTAGACATACAGACCTATACTACCCTTCTTAAATTTAAATTATTTCATATTTGGTGTTTGATTCTGCTTTAAATGTATATTAACATCTTTTGAGGAATCTAATTCACTAGTGTTGCAGGTAATCTGCATGTCAGAGAGTAGTCCTGGGCCCAGGTAATGGCCACGTTGCCTTTGCGACATGGTTGTGAGGACCACTGGACATGGAATCGGCGAGACCGCAGTGATGAAGTACGGCTATATGGTCCTGGTCTCCGGGTAGCTCACTTCCATCCCAACTGGAGCAGTGGTACAGCAGGTGTAAGGGGCACCAGAGTCCTCAACAATGGACGCTATTACTGGGAACTCGGCATATCGCAACGGATTTTTGGCACAAGTATGATGTTTGGTATAGGCACAAGACGTGCACGGTTGCATGTAGATGCATTCACAAACTTGCTGGGTGAGGATGAACATGGCTGGGGCCTGTCACATAAAGGTCTGCTGTGGCATGGTGGACGATGGACGCATTACACAAAACCATTCAGAGAGAATGAAGCCACAACTGTGGGTGTGCTATTTGATGGCATCACAGGTACTTTAACATATTACAAAGATGGCACTTGTCTTGGAATTGCTTTCAAAGGACTGAATGATGTGCGTGAACCGCTGTATCCCATAGTGTGCTCAACGGCAGCCAAGACAGAAATGACACTCACTCTTATGAAGAGGGATTTTGTAAATCTTCAGGACAGGTGTCGTGCAGTAATTCTTAAACAAGTGAGTTCTCAGGCACAGCTTGATAAACTGACTCTGCCTCCACGTATTAAAGGATACTTGAGTGAACCAATGGCAGATACTGTGCAGCCATTTCAACCAGTCAACAAATATGTGAATTCAGTGTAAGAAATGAAAGTCTACTAAATATTCCATGTTAGCCACTCAGTTTTTCCGAAGTGACAGTGAGTAAGTGTTTAAAGTGGACTAGAAAACAAAACAGTACCATGTAAAATTATCTGGATGAAACAATGTAACCCACAGAAGCGATGCTTGGATTTAAACAGAAAACATTCCACTGATACAACAGGTGACTTGCTTCCATGTCCTTACAAGGTAAAATACTGGAAAATTAAGTACATTCCAGTAAAATTAGTCCATTTTCAACTAGTGAGAACTGTGATTTATGCTGGTCATTTGGTACTGTTAGGATGAAAGTGAGGATATGATGAGTTGGCAATGTTGACAGGATGGGGTAGGTATACAATACATACATAATTTTGGTGAGAAAATCTCCTGGAAGATGTCCACTTGAAAGACTGAGAATGAAATGGATAATGTTTTTGGGGACAGGCTTCAAGTATTAGGGGTGAATGGGATTGGGTTAGAGTGTTAGCAAAGCACTGAATTGGACAAATGAGTTTTATACTGAAAATATTGCAGACAGCACTGAGTTTGAGTGAAAACTTATATGTGCAGTATGAATTACATGGAGTGGCTATCCATTTCCATGTTTTTTTTGTAGTGCACAACTACTGAAATCCTAATTGGTTACATTATTATATTCCATCAACTGCAAAGATTTTTGCAGTGCAGAAATAAAGGCAGTTGGCAAATAAGTAATACACCTGCCCTACTAGTTCTGTATATCCCTAATGCACAGATGTAACAGAAACACTATTGAATATTTGGAAAGAAGTCAAGAGTACACCTCTGTCAATTTAATTTTGACAGAACAGTTTAAAACATTGACCTTATATTAAGAGCTTTGAAATTCATATAACGGACACATTTATAGGAAAGATTTAACACAAATTTATGATTAAAAGAGCATATTTTCTGCCTATCTGACTGCCCTAATAATTACAGTATGGAATTCTACATCTGTTGACCAATAATAAAATTTATGAGTTATTTTTACAGTACAAATAGCAATTCCAAGACACAAACAAGGGACTTTGGGGTTATTAGTCATATGGTAAATGATTTTCATTGGGTGAGGGTTAAGACAGTTAGCAACAGTTTTCATAATTCATACCTACTTCCTGTAGTTTTTGGATTTCAACACAATTTATTGAAAATTAAGCACTGTCAGCATTTATTTCGATAACCTTTTACTGTGTTCAAAAATGGGAAACAAAGACACAAGTGTAAGATGCATAGACAAGTTAGAGGCTTATGTTTTCAGGTGTTTAACAATTTCACGTGAGAGGTGCAGAATAGTTGGCAAGTGAATGGTGTTTCAAAATCACAAGAATGTCCCACTATGCATGCGGTATCAGACTGGAAAATCAAGTTCAAGTGTAACATCTTGCAACATTGTAACACTGCAGCTATCTCTCTTGGCATAAAATACTGTTAGCCTCCTGCATCATATTTGGGTCACAGTACAATTGATTAATAACATATTAACCTATGAAACTGCAAGGCAGAGTCTATTTACATAACTTTATATCCACATTGAATTATATGACTGAACAACAAACAGGTAATGTGCACAACTGGGGACTGGATTCCATAATTCTAAATCAGACTTTGTAATGAATATGACTATGGAACAATCTGTTGTACTATAATGTTTGGAATCATATGCATACATCATCTCTTTAAACATTTATGACTAATACAATAACAAAAATTGCATCCTTCACATTTATGCATGGTAAAATGTTGCTTATGTAAACATACATAAATAATTTTAACTGTGACACTGGTAACCATGTTGGAGGTTACCAGTGTCTCAGAGAAGCCTGCTCCCTCTATCTTCACCTTAGAAGTGACTGGAAATGGAATGTAGGAACAGGGAAGGGATGTCTGAGGGAAATAAGAAGACTTGCCAATCAGAGCATGGACCAACACCAAATGAGATACAGGAGGGCCAGTGTTTTGCCTCTGTCTCCTCTCCTTGGCCCTAGGCTCTGACTGGCCAGCCTTCTTCTTTCAGCATAATCTATGAAAGTTACCCAGCCACTGACATAACTACAAGGTGTCACAACCGAGATGATGACAATTTAAACTTCCACTGCAGTGAAAACCTCAAATCTCATACATATAAATAATACTTCACAGGCTCTATTTCAGCTAATGTTCTTTCAACTTTTTATAATTGTAATTTAAAACTTTACTTTCAAAGTGTTGACTACTATAACAAAATAGCTGTAAGTTGCATTGATGTTAATTTGAATAACCACAGGGCTGCTTTCAGACATTACACAGTTTAGAATGGTGTACAGAATAAAGTTCAAAATCTAATTTGCTACTTGGGTGACAAAGGTAAAATCCTTGTGCTTAGTTAAGCATCAGGCCATGAAGGCATATGGAAGAGTGGAGGTATAGCTCTATGATTCTTAGTGTTGGCACTAGATGGAAGTGGGTGGTCAGCTTCATGCCTCAGCTGCTTTAACCCTGCTGAAAGAACCTCACTGGAGAGGAGGCTAGGTGAGCCCAAAAGCCAGCTTAGACATACCGCTGCAAAAAGAAATCCCTGCTTCTGCTAGGATTTAAACACATCCAGCTTGCAGCTTAGTCACATCTGAGCTATATGAGCTACATGAAAGATTACAAAATATCTTGGTTTGGAATGGCAGTTACAATGTTCATAAAGACAGACCTTTAAATGCTGTTCAGTCACTGCAATAAGTCATTGCATTTTCCTTGTTTGTATTGAAATGATATGTTATAACCACTGATATTTGAAAATAGCCTACATTTAAGATTATCTTCTGATATATGATACTGAGCAGTCATTCCACAAGACCATCATCATAATCACTATAACCTCAACTATCACTATTATCATCATTATTATTATAATAAAAACAACTCTTCCTTTCCATAGTTGTTAGTTGCTTCTGATTCAGCCTGATCACAATAACCCACTGGAAATGACTTACATTTACAACACTATTAATGAATGAATTACAGTCCTTGAAAGAATTACTGAAATGTAAGAAAAGTGAAAGTTCTTTAGTTTGCATGTAACAGGGGCAACTGAATATCATCGTCAAGCAGTTAGTAGTCCTGCTCTATATTTGGGATATTCTGTGTCTGATGCTTGACTACATGATTGAATTTCCTGACTACAGTTGTCCTCCTAAGTCCCTCCAATTTACTCTTCTATCAGAAACAATATCTCTAATGGAAATGATTTCCTTTGCAGAATATTCTTTATAGTATTTTTTTTTCTGTGGCGCTACAGCCCCAATTTGGGCCTAGGCCTACCTCCATGAAACTCTCCGATTCTTTATAGTATTTGGCCATCGTTATGGAACCAGCATGGATCATACTAATTTAATATTGACTCTAATGAAAATAGATTTAGATTAGATATATACATCTAGCTAGGCATTTCACGGTAATAATCCCGTGAATCTCTTCGCCCGTGCCATATTAATGGAATTTACCATGTTACAGTTTTATGTGTGAATTTGTAAGGCACATTTTTTGTATCATACACATTAATATGTGAGTAAATGCAAAATCATTCCTCATATTTATATATGATGATACTGTAACACTGATAATTCCTTGGTATAAACCTAATGGTTATTACAGATGTTACAGATAAATGTTCTGAGTCTTTCACTTAGTGAGTTTGCATTTCATTCAGAATGAACAACCTGACGTCCACCAAACAATAAAATATATCTCATTAATGTCTGATCTTCCCTCTCTTATCTTTGTCTCTTACATTAAAAATGCAGCTGATACATGCAACTGTAAATAATAATTTTCGTGAAATTATTACAAAATATTGTCACTCAACAAGAGTAGACACATTATGACACTGCTGCAGTACTGACATAAGGAATAAACAAACATTTGACTATGAATAGAATTATGTCATTTACAAAATCAATGGTGCTTTTGGAAAGACAGAAAAGATGAGGTATTAAGAATCCTATTTTAGAACAGGCAACAATTTTGAAAAATTCTGCATGATTGCCAACTATGTAATATCTGTAATAAATGCATAAATGTAATATGGGTTGACCTCCTAATTCATTGTAAAGTGAATATTTCAATGTGTTTATGATTAGCACAATGATTGTGTTCAAGACAAAGAACACATACACTTTTATGTCAGTCATTCTGCCTGCAAGTAAGTGTACAAAGAGGTGAGAGAACATCAAAGAGTTGTTCTTGGATAAGTACAGAAACAAGTTAGGATTACACAGCCAGCAAAGTAACTGGCTACAGGCTGGATAGTCAAGGTTAAATTTCTGGCTGGGGTAGAACTTTCTCCATTTGCCACACATCCATATTAGCTCTGGTGCCAACCCAGTCTTCAGTCTAATGGGTACCAGGCTCTTGCCCTGGTCACATCCACTGAAACATCTTGCACTACAGATGCTGAGTGACTATAGTACATTGTCACACTAAATCAAACCCATGACTGCAGTTTATGTAGGACAACACATAACAGATTTTTCTTGAATGCAGAAGGAAACATTTCTACTTACTTTGAACATGGCATAAGAGTCAGAATACAAAATCCACCTCTTACACAAATAACTTATACATACTGTCACGTGTATCAGGAGACTGAGGCGCAGGTTTTGGATTGGATGAACAGACTTATTTACTCCTTATACACACCACCTGTAATTACAGGTAATTATAGCACTATCACCATTTATACACTTTATAATTCACTGTTCTTCTTGAGTGGCCCTACTCTCTGGGTTGCTCGCTCAACCTTGGCCCTGGTGCAGTTCTCTCTGACGACGACTCTCCTGCACAGCAGGTCATCATCCTGCCGGCTGCAGCCAGTTCCTTCCGCAGTCCACAATTTCCCTGAAGACGTTCCACTTGTGCCGTGCCACTGCTGCATGATAGGACACCTTCATGCAGGTGGCAACCAACTTCCTCAAGTCCGTTATTCTGGATCTCTGCAATACCCTGCAGCTAGATGCCAACCCCTGTGCCGCTTCTTAGTTAGTTATTGGAGAAGGTGGGTTTCCCCATGCACTGAGACTTGTATTGGTCCATTGTGCTTCCCTCTATGATTTCTACCAGTCTCTATATCCTACTGGTACTGGTGCTTACCATCAGTCCCGCCCAGCCAGCGAGACCGGCTCTACTAGCTGAGAGGTATCTATAATGCTTCCCCCATCTACCAGAGGTATTAGAGACTGCTGTTGGGCGGGAAACGTCCGTTAATTTGGCTCAGTGACCTCCTTTGGAGATATGAGGTTCTGTAAAGCTACGACATGGGACCCACGGCTTAAAGTCCCTCCTGGAGGACTTGTTCCCTGAAGTTTTCTGCCCTTAAAAATTCGACCACCTCAGCTGGGTATTTGAACCCGCGTACTATGACTCATGAGGTGGGAACATTACCTCTAGACTATGGAGGCCGCTGTGCCGCTTCTTAATTCCTCCTGAAGATTTCATTGCAGCCTCTTCCGTAGGGACCTCCCAATGTTCCAACTTGGACTCCATTTCCTCAGGATTTAGCTCCTTCAAATCCGTGGCTTCCATCTTTTCTTGATTAGTTTTCATCATGGCTATCATGACTATCACAGTCAATTAGCTCCATCTTCTCTGGATTAGCCTTCATCTCCTGTTGGAAAGCTGTTCTCTCATTTCAGCATACCCTCAGGAAGTGAATTGCAACCTCTTTGTTAGGAATCCCCTATTGCTCCACTACAACTTCATTTCCTCCTGGATTTGGCTCCATTTTCTCTACACTGGCCTCCACTGCATCTTGGCATGCCACTGTTTCCTTTTGATCATTCTTCATGTCCACTATCCAGGCATCTCTCTTCCAGTGATGTTCCGTTGCAGCTTCCACTCTCATCTGGTTGGTGTTTGTCTTATCGTGAATGGCTTCCAGCCTTGTCACCACTTCTCTGTCTACTTTCCTTTCAGCCTCCCTCATTTCTTGGTCAGCTTTCCGCCTGGCCATCCTCTTCTCCTCTAACTCTCACTGGACGGAGAGGATTTCTTCCCTCATTTCCTTTAAATTTATGTCCTTCTTGGCTTGGTTAGTTTTTATGTCTTCCTTCAGTTCCTTTAGATTTGTGCCTACCATTTCTTGCATTGCTTTTGTATTGGCATCCATTCTGGCCAGCAGGAGTTCCATCATCCGTTGCGTCCCTATAACGTGAAGATATAACTACATTATGCAATCTCAAAACCAATAATATGATCAGTTTAATCCAATCCGTACCACTTCTAACACCAGTTGTCACATGTATCGGGTGACTCAGACGTGGGTTTAGGATTGGATGAATGGGTGTATTTACTCCTTACACACACATGTAACTACATGTCATTATAGCACTATCACTGTCTCTACAATTTATAATTCACTGTTACACACATACTAGTCCTCTCCTGGTAACACAATTAAAACACAGGAGGTAGCACTTAAATCACTCCAAATATTACACATGAATAAAGTCTTCTAATCACATTTTAAATCTTCACAAGTCGACAAACTTTCCATGGCTGTCTCCTAACAAGAACTCAGAACTCTGTCACTCACTCATATAGCTAAAGGACCGACATCAGCCAACAACAAACATATATCACAAGACCCTTACCCACTGCTGCTGTGTGATGTCACCACATATGTGCAAGCTGACAGACACACAGGAAACACATGTCACATGACAGCCATCTACTCTTGACCTGATATCACAGCTCCTCCACCAGCTGCTTGACACATGGGAAACATAGCTTGTTCCCCTGTTGAGTGCACAAATCATGTTTACAGACCTGTTGCTTGGCAATGCATTGACATGTCACAATATTTTTCCAGCAATTTCCTGTAACCCAGTTCTTATTGTAAACTTTCTAAACAGCAGCAGCATGAGCAGAAATTATTATTTGAGGATGGTAAAAAAAAAAGATATATATTTTACACAAATTTGAGTGCTTACTCTTTTATCCTAGCAAGCTGTGATACATTCCTGCAAACCCAGATTGCATTACAATAATTTCTTTGGAAGAGTGTGAGACTTAATACTGTGAAGATTAGATGACGACTTTATTTTATTATCATACAAAAGCATACAAATAAAACAGATTTTTATCATTAGAAAGAGGTCACATAAATTGAAACTGATAACTGCAGATACAGAAAATAAATGATTACATGATGAAATAAAATTGTCAATCTGTGTTACAAAGATAATGTTGTCCACTTGCTTAACTAAATTCCATATGATTAGGATATATCCTTTAGCACTGTTAAGAACCATGCCTTGAAAACAAATGAGGGGATGTACAAGTACGTACAAGTCCAGACATTCAGCACTACATAGAGGTGAATATATGCCTTCATACAATGCCCACTTTTCCCCCAGGGAAAAACTCCTGGTACCCTCTGGACAGAAGGGTGACTGGGTTCCACAGCCAATCATGGTGGCGGAGAAAATCCTTGCCCCTGCCAGGAATTGAACCGCCATCATCCAGCCTGTAGCCTATCACTATCCTGGGTGAGCTACCCTGACTCTCTTGAGCAATACAATATCAACATAAAATATTTTACTGCAGTATCATCCATTTTCCACCACTGACATCACATGCAAGATATATTTGTACATATTTGCTTTTACAGAACTACTTCTTTGTTATACTAAGAGATGTATCCAGTAATCCATGATTCAATAATTCTCAGTATCTTCTACATTGTCTCTCGATATGTATGTAGTCTAGAACATATATGGGTACTGAATGACTGAATTTTATGTTTGGAGGTTGCTGACTTAATGGTGTATGAGTGTTAAAATAGTGAGAAACTATTTCATAAGCAAAGAGGTAATAACATAAACTTTTTTTATAAAACTACCTCCCAGAATGAAGAACTAAGTGCATAAACACTGAATGCATTCAAAATCATGCAGTTCTTAGGCCTTATTTATATATTTTAAAAAATTTGTTAAACAGACAAAGTTACAGATCAGATTTGCTCTGTTGTTGCATTAAATAAATTGAATATATTAACATTTTGTTACTTGGGATGAGAAAATGGTCAACTTGGTCTGAGGCTACAGGAAACACAGTAACATGTAAGATGCATATGGTAATGACTTGTGTGGTAATTATGTCCTCTTATGAAATTATGTACTAATAAAAGACATTTTTTTTACATATAAAGTGTATTTTTAATGGCATAGAATACACTGACTTTGAATATGTCCTTGCTGATTTCTTTTATTACTTTTCTGTCAATGCAGAAACAGCCCCAATATTCAACACTTCTCTACATCCACATAACTACACTTGCACACCATCACTGATACCACATGAAAATAATTTTTGTTTCAGCATAGAATTTTGAATGGACACAAAATATATAAATTATGCTTTTGTCATTCACCACTGCGTACTGCATGCACAAATACCTTTTGGTACGTATTCATAAATTAAGTACTGTGCCAACCACATCTATTCTCTTTTAAAAGATGCAGCAGTACAAACTTTGTCAGTGTTGGGGGTTACTTTCCATCAATTTGTTTCTTGCTACAATTGATTCCACTTTCTGAGAATAAGATGACAATGGCTGAAAGATGGGTATATGTTCAGTATATGTAAAGATAAGAAACTGGGGGTCAGGTAAGTAAGGGCAGAAAAATAAGAGTATATGTCTCCTTATTTGAGGAGGATGAAGCTGGAAACAAACATTAACTCCACAACTAGAGAACAGAGCTGTTGAAGCTACAGCTTTTTCTTTTGTCACATTAGAGTGGAATTATTGAAGATGGCGAAAGTAATAAAAGTCAAAAATGCATCCACAATATAACATATAAAACTAGCCAAGATGATTCATAAACCAAAATTAAGACTTTCGTTGGAGTATGATAAGAATAATGGATGGGCTCCACATTACAGGTAAGCATCCACCATTAAATTGTCTTCTATCAGTTTTGCATAAGGAAGTAATTTCTCAAGCAGGTAGGTGGGTTCTGTGGAAAGCAAAATGTAGGCTTTACTCAGAAGAAAACACTGAACAGAGAGGTTCTTACTGAAAAACCAGACACATTAAAATTATTGTACAGAGCAGAAGAGGGGAGAGAACGAGTACATTTTTGGGCTTGTATGCATCTCTGCTGAGGACCTACTAGTATCAGCCTGTCCATCGGTCTGCACAATCAATCCATGAGCAGTACAGGTCACAGATGGGCCTGGAGGGGTTCCAAACCTCCCCTGACTATTGGGATGGCTGAACTTGTATGTGTTCAGTCATAGGTCACAGAGGAGAATAGCCACCCTCTTTAAAATTAGTCTAAATTTGCTCAAAAGGAGAGAGGATACCAGGTAAAAAATTAAGGAACTTTTAATTATAATACATATTTTGCTTTCATGCAGGTCCTACATGTTCAGATGGTCATAAGTAACAACCAGTAACAAATTAAAGGTTGAGTATCTGCATCACATAATATTATCATGCAAGGAAACCTAGAAATGTGCTCTCTTACTTCATAATTCATGGAGCAGATTTACCCTCCTTAGCATTCTGTAAGGCCTGGGTAATGTACAACTTTGCTAGAGACTGGGAGCAGAACTGTGAAATATGTTGGCTATATGTGTTGATCTGACCAGACACGATCATAGGATTGAGACGTTGTGGCACAGGTATGGGGCGGAACAACTTGTTCAGATCTTCTTCTGGAAGGGGTGGTTCGTCCTTGGCTTGTCGGGCTGCATTCTCTTGAGACTGTTAAGAAGACAATGAACAATGTCCTGACTATATGTTTCACATAACAACTTCCACTAACACCGCCTCTAAAAAGTACAATAACATGTAATTTTCTATAAGAGATCCATGATGTGCACACATGGCAATCAGCCTGACAGCAGAGTTTGAAGGTGCGGGAGATCTGCAAAATCCTATTAGCAGTGTGCAGTTGCAGGCTTAATGTTTACATTTCACACACTCAGACATTCTTACAGCGCAAGGAAGTCTGGAAACTTGTGCCTACAGACTCCACCATGCCATTCACTGATGATCTCTGAGATAAAATGTCCTTGATAAAATTCTGACAAATACACATTTCCACAGAAGATGCAAATAAAGTTCAATATGATGTGTTAACACAGTTTGAATATTCATATCGCTGCACTTCTTCATTTGATTCCTCAATGAATATTATCACAATTTTATCGAGGCACATTTTCATTTCAGTGTTCAAGAAGGAATTGTGTGGTACAGTCCATAAGCCTGAGAACCTGGACACACTGTGTACTCTTAAATCAGCAGCTATAATTCACTACAGGCTTATTACAGCTAATTAGAAAACTGACTGTATTTAGCCCAAAATTATTTCATCCCCTATGCATAAGAAAAACTACAAAGTTGCCAGTAGACGAACCTCTTCATCTTCATCATGGCTCAGGCCATGCTTGTTGTGTTCCATCCTCTTTAAGAGTAGGTCTGTCCTGTCATCTTAACTGTGGGCAACCTCCCAGTATTTATTTTGACTGTAACTTAGCAATTACATATACTGATAACATCTAGAGCACATGCATTAACATAAAAAAATGTTAAGGACTCCCACCCCATGTATCAAAGCCTGCCCACAGACATCAGAAGGTCCCCATGCTCATATTTTCAGTTGATCACGCATAAATTCTAGTATGTTACCTCACAAGCCATAACACATCTGACCATATTGACTGCATGGAAGTCAAAGCTGTCAGTATGTTACCTCACAAGCCATAACACATTTGACCATACTGACTGCATGTAAGTCAAAGCTGTCAGTATGTTACCTCACAAGCCATAACACATCTGACCATACTGACTGCATGTAAGTCAAAGCTGTCAGTATGTTACCTCACAAGCCATAACACATCTGACCATACTGACTGCAGGCAAGTCAAAGCTGTCAGTATGCAAAGTCACAAATTACATAATAATTTACTTATATTGATATATTTTAATGAAGAAATTGTGGTTAAAAGCTTGAGATAAAAACATGGTATTTAATTACTTTCTGAAATGTCTTGTGTAAATTATGTGAGTAAATATATTGATAATGATGCATGGTCAAAGGACCCCCCCCCCAAAAGAGTATGCTGTAGTGGATGCAATCTTACCCTTTTCTGCAAGAAGCGATGTTTATCCTGCTGCTGACGAATCACCTGCTGCTGGTAACGGTTGAATTTTATTGCTTCCTGATTCAGTTCATCTACTCTGTCCATAAGACAGCGAAGTTGGCCTTCCAGCACAGATCTAAACAAGAAAACAGTATGGACTGAACTCGCAGAGACAGCTCTATGATTAGCATGTCTTAATCTTTCCTGCCGATACGAGTTCGGAACAAAACTCGTCAATTCTTCTTACTGTACAGACTTCTAGCCTTACAAAACTTGTGGTTATTATTTTGATAATGTAAATTTAAATTTAGCTCATGAATCAAATGGATTTGTGTACAGATGGTCATCCCCTAGAATTTTGCATTGTCTGTGTAGTAAATATGTTAAAATTACTACTGCCACCGCTGCTGCTGCTACCACCAGCAGTGGCAATAATATAAATCACAGTACTGAAGGTCAAGTAATAATAAATTATTCTCAAAAGAAAATGATGATTGTCACCGCCGCCACTGCTGCTATATGGTGCTGGTGGTGTTGGTGCAGCTGTGGCAGTGGTGGTGGTAGTAATGGTAGAAGCAGTACCTTGTTTTTAGGAGGAATCTGTTACTTAACCTTCATCATCCAGAATAGAAGATTTAAACACTCTAGATGCATAGGGCCAGTCGCTGAATTTTAATATGGAGGTAACAGTATTCATTTAAAAAAAAAAGGGAATGCCTGACCAGCAGGCAAAAACACATGCAAATCCACAACAAAGAAATACAAGGTCAATATCAGATTCTGTGTTAAAAATGTCAGACATTATGCCACTAAGTTTTGCACAGTCTTACTGATAATGCATAATATTCCATACAAAATTTTTTGGCATGGTTTTGGTCCATTTCCATAAAGCATTCCACATGACATGCTCTAAACAGCTATTAGGTATCAATATCAAACCAAAAGCTAAATACATCTTATAAATCTACCATTTTTGCACATCCCCCATTCTCCAAAAAATATGTTTGAGAAAAACTGCTAATTACTGAAGATTATTACCAGATATAATTTCAGAACTCCTTGAGTAAGTGGCACTAGTACCACTCCCACTTCACAAATCCATATATTCATCATGTTGTTATAATTCACATGAAATTAGTTTAAGTATGCTGTTGGGGTGAACATTATGCCATAACAAATTTCATGAAAATCAGTTGGTTCAAAAGCTGAAAGGGGAAGGCATACAGAGAAGATGGAAAGCTCATGTGGTTATGTTCTTCCCCTGAATAAGAAGTATAGACTAAAAATCTATCTTCACACATACTGGCATTTGAAATATTACAAACATGAGAAACATGGTAAGTCTAAAACACCTAAAAGAGAATTCAAAGAATGTCAGAAATATCAGCTTTCCTCCAATTGGTATCTATGTAGGCTCTAGCCCTGTTATATGATCATATGGTTCTCACTAATTTTACATCCTAAATTGTCAAATCAGATATATAGGGACTGTGAATTCTAACTGCAAGGTTTATACAGTGAAACCCCAATACAAATCCTCTCATTATACCAATGTTTTCAATCTACAACACATATGATCACATCCCCCAAGATAGTAATGTTTTATTTCATAACAACCTGAAATATGCTTAAAGTTACTCTGAAGAATGTACTGTCACGTTCTGTGCTGGACATGTACAGAGGTCAATGTCCAGCAAGACTGGGTATAATACATTGCAGGATTCTCTCTTGCTTTCTTGGAATTATTGTAGTGAAGACAAATGCACCAGATCCCCATTGCCATTAATCTCGGTTTTCTAGACTGCCTCTGTGGTCTATTGGTCTGAATTCCTGGCTACAGAGCCAGAGGTCCTGGATTTGATTCCCGGCACTACAGATTTTCTGAGAAACTAGTGGGTCTGGAACGGGGTCCACTCAGCCTCGTGAGGATAACAGGATCTACTTGAATGGGAGTGTAGCGGCTCCAGTCTAGAAAACTGAAATTAACGGCCGTGGGGATTTGTTGCACTGACCACACAACACCCTCTATCTGCTAAAGTTGGCACTAACTTAGCTGACAAGAGGTGGCCGCACGGTCGGTATAGTTCGCTTGCAGACTAAAGCCACGGAGTTTGTTTTTGTTTGTAGTGAAGGCTGAGATTGGATACAGAAGTAATCTACATGGGATCCTATTAAGATGAGACCACACAGTTCACCTCTGTCACTTGTTCAGTCACCAGTGAGCCATAAATCACGTGAATGGAACAGCATATGCCGATTTTAAAAGGGAGGAAATGAAGCTGTATATTTTCTGAATGGAGAGATGCTGACGAGGTTCCCACAAAAATACCGTAAAGAGGTGTCTGTAAGTGCGGTAATTTTGTAGGCCAAAGCAGTTAAATTTAACAAATAACTGAGCATAGATGAACAATCAAAGCTTCTGACAGGTAACTTTGATGGCGGAAGATTCAACATGAGATGACAACTTAGCTGAAGATGAATTTGCATCTACTAACAGTACAGCAACTGAATGGTTTCCTGAAATTCTATATAAAGTGACTCAATATGGTAGTACAGTGATAAATAACCCTACAACTGTGATGGACAGCACTATACAATAAACTGCTCTCAGAAAAACTGTTCCAGCTTAAAAAAGCACCTAATAAAGGACATATTTAAATAAAAATGAAAAATTGACCACGGTTCTGCACGAGACTGACTGGCAAATCACAACTTAAAATCAGTATGCACTGACAAATGTCAGAAGTCTCCTGTGTTTGGATGACACACAATAATTTTGCCTTAAGGTTTAAAAGTGAGTTTCTATCATCAGTCATACACAATGTGCCTTCAAAACAACTCGAGGAAAAACTCTGTTACTAATCACTTTTCTGTCCATCCTTCAGCTGGCATCCTGTAATCAAAAGCTGGCCAAAGAATATGACTGTGCTGATTCAGCCCATGAGCTCATGCAAAGCATATTGTCACATTACTATACTTTCTGACTTGGCACACTCAGAAGTGCAGGTTACAAAATTTCTGAGGAAATCAGCACTGAAAGACATTGCATACAATGTTGGTTTAGCCTGCTGGGAAACGAATCCAGCAGCAAGTGAAAACTGCTGGGGAAAAAAAAAGTTGTTAGAAGAGATGTCACACAACATGACACAAAGTTAGCAGGATTTTTGGAACAAGAAATGAGACTGCTTGTAATGCACTCAGCAGTGATCTAGACTGAGACATATGTAGTGTAGTACAGCAACTTCTGCGAGAACAAACAACAAAGGCATTAGCAGAGGAAATTGTTAAGAGGATAATGGTGATGATTAACACTGCACAAAGTGCTTGAAAACGTTTATCTCTATTGGACATGTAACCCTTTTGGGGGTGAATGCATTGAACATACCAGCTGACCGAGCATTGCACTTTTCCAATACAATGCTTCAGTATGATATGTTTTTGACATATATGTTAATTTCAATGCATAGTCAGAGCTAATACAGTAACTATAATAACAATGTGGCATAACACACCATATTATAATTAATATAAACCATGTACATCTGTACTAATGACCATCAAAAATTAAAAATTCGCTTAGTGGAGGATGGAGTCCAACTGGGTCCACTCAGAATGGTGGCCACTGATTGGCCTATTGTAGCCTGCCCCGGGTAAGTATGATGATGGAGAATTTGGTGGAATGAAGATTGGCAGGGGAAACTGAAGTACCTGGAGGAAACCCGCCCCAGCGCCACTTTGTCCACCACAAATCCCACTTTACCAGACCCGGGATCAAACCTGGGACACCGCAGTGGGAAGCCAGCAACTAACCGCTTGAGCTATGGCGTGGCCGTACTAATGACCATAAGTTGAAGTACATAAACTGTTGAAAAAAAGTTATTGCATATTTCTGTATGTACAAAATTGTGTAACTTCAACCCCTTTAAATTTTGGACTTGCTGTACCAATACTGCTCTCACTGAGCTTAAATATGGTCACTAGAAATGCAGAAACATCAGATTTAAAGTCCACTATTCCCTGATGAGAAACTGATTGCTACCCTGCTGCCCCTGTGGTGCTGGGAGATTTAAAATCCCTATTCCCACACAAACTCAGGGAAGTGATAACATGATCAGAAAGTCACACTAACACAGACCAGCTTCATCTATTGCACCTGACCAGTATTCAGCATTATGCCTTGAAAAAAATGATGTGACCAGTTCTAAGAAGCTAAGTTATGGGACTGTTTCCATAAGGAGGGATGAACTACACCTGTATAGTAATCTACATCAATAGAATCATAATATGCACCTGCAACTTGATCATGTCTCAGTCAGTATTCACATACACGTAACACAAGCCTGCAGAACTATGCAATGTATACTAAATAGGTAAATACAGCAGAATCAATAACAAATGATATTCATAATCTTTATACATTATTTACAAGAGAAGAAAATATAGCTAAAGTGAGAAACCTGAAGCGATATCCTGTAATTTTTGTAGTCCCTTCTTTTAGATAACCCAACTACTGATTAACAACAAGCTCTTATAGCAAACATAAAATGCACATTCAATTATTCCCTCTTAGTTCATACTTATTCAAACTCACAAGAAAACAAAAATATAATACCATGAATGAATAAACAACCAATACTTCTGCTTTACAGCTTCTTTGCTTCAAAACTGTACTGTAATGGAGCACCAAATTAAAAGAACAAAAAGAATATAATTTCAATGCAAACAGAACTGACTGAAAACTTTTTGCTTTTTCCCTTAGTCGTAACATTTTTTCTGAAACGAGATAAGCATTTGACTTCTTGTAAACTTACTTACCTATGACTGAGAATAAAAACCTTCACAAGCAGGACTGCTTAAATTTAAATAAGTACAGTAAAACTTGGTTATAGCAACATCGGTTTCTGCGACACCTTGTCTACTGCGTCAAATATTCAATGGTACGAACTAATTCCTCATAAAGCAACTGTTTTTATACCTTGCTTAGTACGACATGCACAAATGCATCAACCTCGTATGTAACGTCATTTTCATTCCTGAATTTCTCTGATATCGTGGGAAAGTTCGATGTGTCTGCCCACCCCCACTTTCTCTACTTGCTGACGTGACTGTCCTGGAAGAATACGACCGCGGGCTGCAAGAGGAGCGTGGGTTTTATGCGAAAACAAGGGTGTGGGGTGGGACTGCGTGAATAGTGCAAGAGGACGCGGCAGGTTGTTAACTGCATTCCTTTCCTAGAATCTCGTCTAACAGGACCTCACATTGTCTACTTACCCTATAGTGTTCCTGCCTAAACCCAGAGAAGTGCAGTAGCGAAAACATGGCAATGAAAAGGAAAGTTTTAAGCA